TTAAAATTACCAACCTCGCGTCCGGCCAAAAGAAGTGCTCCTGCCGTCGAGGCATCCGAACCGTTAAAATTACCAACCTCGCGTCCGGCCAAAAGCAGTGCTCCTGCCACGCGAGCCAAGGGGGGAAAGAAACCGAAAATGGACGCCGAAACCGGATTGGAATGCTTCGACAAGAACCAGTCCGGAAACTGTCCGTTGTGGGCCGCTAGGGTAAGAGATGAGACAAGCACGGTATGAAACGGCATGTCGCATCGTCCGGTGTAGCGTTGTTTTGTATTTGCATACATTGCTAAGCAACGGCCGTGCCATCCTGAATGGGTTTCGGCATACAGGAACTCGCCTCTCACCATTTCATTTTGCGCAACCCACATTGGACAAATAACTAGGGGGAATGCAAGACCAACAGGACCTATATGCACGAGAACTGCAGGCTATCCTGTGACCGCTGCCAGTAAGTTAAGCGATCGATCGATCAATCACTATTTTTAAATGGGGATGGAAAATAAGAGAAACCCGCCACGAGAAGGAAAGACTCGTCGTCGGCGTATTGCACTGTTAAAAATTCTTTCCGTGCCGTCTTTTTCTCGCCTCGATTCCAAAATAGAAGACATCTAATCATTTCATTCTTTCTCCCATCGTGTTGCACCACTTTATGGCGATTTGCGCTGTGCTTCATTCCCACCACTGACTACGCAGTGTGGTGCGCATGCAAAACCACCAGGACATTAGCAAGTTCATAGCCAGGAAGAATCGAGAGAACGCCAAGGAAATCGAACGCAAAAGAAAAGCCAGGGAGGCACGGCGGGTTCTGGAGAACCGGAACAAAATCGGCAGCGGAAGAGACGAGTTGTGAGAGCATTGTTTGCAACAACATCATTGGAGTTTCGTTGCTGGGTGCAAACCGTGCCAAAGAGAGCCAGTAGTCAGTTTCTAGAAACTGTCAAGTCTCGGATTTTTTGTAAACAACAAAAACCATCCGAACAAAGAGTTTCTGCGAGTCGTCGTTCTAGCCTGCTCGTTAGTCAATTAGTCGTCGCGTCGTACAGCATCGGTATCATGGTCCGGGATGTGTTTGGTCCGACGAGACCGTGCTGAACGTGCATTTTGATTTATCGTATGCTTTTTGGACAGAGGGACGAGATCATCCCAAACCTAGATACACAAATAGAGAGAGAAAATTATTAGAGTACCAGTCAAAGAAATAAGAATCATAAATTTAGTGGTTTTACTGTTTCATCCTTTCATCGTATTCCCGATGGAAACACCGGCCCTCAAACCCGCAGAGGTCCTTGGGCTTCTTGTTGCTCTTCGCTCCTGCTGCTGGTGCTGTCGAGTGTCGCCACCGACGACGACTGCCAGCGATCGGCGCCGCTGCCGCGCCGGATCATGGTCACGGATCGGAGCACCATAGGTTCCAGCGAAAAGGCGGAAGAACGGCGGGGCATCCACGACGACGAGCGGCGGCGTTCTGGATGCGGCTGGGGCGGTGGCGTTCCAAGAGCCGCCATCGGTTTCACGACCGTCGACTCTGGCTGCTGCTTTCGCAGCAGCTTTTGCAGGGTTGGGTCTCGGAACCACCTGCGGAGTGCCGCCCTGGCTTCGGTCGGGCTGTTTGCTTCGCTGGGGAACCGTGTTTCGAAGCGCTCGCACTCGGCTCGAAAGCAGCGGCCGACCTCCTCCATGGTGGGCCGCATGGAAACCTCGCGGTTCCACGTGTCCCCGAGAACCGCGGGGAGCGGGGTTTCGCGGCACGGTGGTTTGGACCGCCACCGCGGGTTCCGACCGCGGAACGAACCCGTTCCCGGCTGGCGGCGGTCGCCCCGGTTCCATTCGGCGGGTCCGATGGATCCCGGCCAGATCGTGGAGGTCATGTCCCGGAGGTTGCAGTCCCCGTACGGTACTTCCAGGGTCAGGATTTCCCAGGCCAGAACGCCAAAGGAATAGACGTCGCACTTGGCGTTGTACGGGTGTCTCAAGCCGACCTCGGGGGCCATGTACCGGGGGGATCCACAGAACCCGGTCATGTGGTAGAGCGGTTCTTGCGCTCGCTGCTGCTGCTGCTGCTCCTCCTCCTCCCGAGAAGAAGAAGAAGACGCCCGGACCGCGACCGAGGAAGGGGACGATGGCAGCTCCCGGGAGAGGCCGAAATCAAAGAGGACGGCGTGTGGGGTGCCGCCCCCCGCGCCACGAAAGCCAATGTTCTGGGGCTTGACGTCCCGGTGGAGGATCCGGTGGCGGTGCAGGTGGGCCAGGGCGCTGGCCAGCTGGTGGCAGACCACCGTGCGTTCCATCGCTTGGTTCCGGCGGCGAAGGGAGCCCCCCCGAGGGCCGGCCAGAGCGCCGGGCCGGGGGCGTGCCTACCCTGGCAGGCCCGCTGCCTCCTCCACCGGGCCAGGCGACGGGCCAGCGTTCCGCCCTCCAGCTTGTCGAGCAGCAAGAAAAAGCCCTCCCGAAAGGGAGAGGCGCTTGCGGCCACGCCGTGCAACCGGACCACGTGGGGGTGGGCCGGGAGGGAGGCCAGGATCCGCGTCTCGGTGGCGAGGTCCACCAGGCTCTGCACAAAGACGGTCTGGCTGGTTTGGAAAAGATTGGCGCGGAGCCGCTTGACCGCGTAGGGTGCTTTCTTGGCGTTGCAACGAGAGGCCGTAGCGGCGCGTTGCGCGGGGTGGAGCGCAAGACGTTGCTGTTGCTGTTGCTGTTGCTGTTGCTTTGTCTCGCGCTCGTCGTGCGGCCGGAGGAGCGAGATTTTCTTCACCTCGGACACCGTCCCGGAGGCACCCATCCCCAGGGTCCTTCCCAGACGGATTTCCTCCGCAAAGAACCCGGGAACATTTGCGAGAAACAACGGTGGCGGCGGCGGCGGAGAGGATTCCTCCGGTGCGCAGCCGTGGGAGGACGACCACGACGAAACCGACGAGCGCCGCTTCCGGTTGTAGGACCACTCGGCCCGGACCCGTGCTTCTTCGATGGAACTGCTCGTTCGTGTGGCATCATCCGCAGCGGATAGGGGACCACCAAGGTTGGGTCTGCGTCTTGCTACCGAGGAACCAGGTGTGGCGGGCTTGTATTGATATTGATGTTGATGCTTCCGGGCTTTGTGGCCAACGATGTTGAAGGATCTTTGGGGATTTTTTGTTGGAGTTTTGCTCATTGCGTTGCAGTTTCGGATGCCGTTGGTGTTGTTATTTGTTATTTGTTCTTTGCTGAGTGTGAGCAAATTTGTGGAATGATGATGGTGTCTAGCATGGAAGGACGTGGTGGGTGGATCCTAGACGTTCCGATGAGAACTTCACCTGTGCGGTCTCCACAGAGATCTCCACAGAGAAGAAGCATTGTATGCATTGTCATTGGATTGCTTGTAGTGTCCTGGTTGAACCACAAATGACACATTCGATGGCTCGTCGCGGCACAACAAGGATCGAAACGATTCTGTTGCTCGAAACATCGCCCGAGGCGTTTTCGGGACGAGTTTTTCGTGTCCCAGGCAACGTTCTTCAACTAGTGAAAAGTGCCCGGGTCGAAACTCGGACTCGTATGATTCCCTGTATGTTTTTTAAAGGCTTAATAATAGTAGAATCCGATAGGGTTCAATTGGCTGGAGAATTCACGAATTAACGAACACCTGTCTGGTAGGTATGAACGTACGTTTATGTGTTCTGTAGGTACGACTAACGAGTAACGAGCACCATGATTAGGATCTTTTGTTGCCGTACGCAGTACKTACGTACGATATCCCGGAACCATTTGGCGCGAGGCATCAAAAAAATGCTTCGCGAGTGACAATGAAAACCACACCTCGACGTCGAACTCGTACGAGTRATCAACGATCTCGAAGGCAAACTATCTTACTAGTAGCATCAATCCATATCAATCCGTATCATCTGTTGTCGTCCGTGCGAAGCAAACCAAAACACAACTACTTGTCAACACACCGACCTCCAAACGAAGGGGAAAACAAAATACTGTACCGGGAAGGTTAAATCCGGCTTCAAGACCTCCCCGGAAGAGTCGTTGAGAAGCAGGAGACGAGACAGAGATGCAAGGCGCCGAGTGTTGCATCCACGATTTCCTTGCTCCCTTGCGAAGACCACGGCAAAAGGCCCTCCGAAACGACCACAACGACAGCAGCGACACAACGCTCCGAAGAACCACCCCCGGCGGATCGTCGCCGTCGCTCCCGGCGGGTCTCGGTCTGCTTCTGCCCCTGCTTGTGCTTCTGGCAGCGGAACCCTCCCACCCGATGCGATTCCCGGCCCGGACCTTTTCCCCGCGCCCAGGGGCCTTCCGGGGGGCGGCTCCCGGCCGCGGCGCTTGTGCCGATCCGCAGAGGCGGTTCCGCTCGGCCACTGCAAGGGCAGGGCTCTCCGGGAGGGGGGCCTTCCTTGACGCCCGGGCCCGGTGGTTCTCGGGCAAAGGCCAGAAGCAAGCCCTCTTTGCGATCGTGCCCGAGCTGGACAGCACCGGGGACGACGAGGCTTTTGATCCGGACCATGCCTACGACCAGCAAGGGCCTCTGCAGGGTGGCTTCGACCCTTGGGGACCACCCCCCGGCCCGGATCCCTACGACCAGAGGGGAGAACAAGACGATGCTTTTTCCGGCCAGGGGAACAGTCCCATCGCCAACCCCTTTTCCTTTCCGATGCCCACCTTTTCGTACACCGAAGAAGGAAACACGCTGGAGCAAAGCGAAAGCAGGGGGAAGACCAGCAGCAGCAGCAGCAGCAGCAGCAGCAACAACAACAGCAACAACAACA